GGTGCTTGGGGAAGCTGCCGCGCGGGGTGGCCTTGGCGGGCCGTAACACACTAGCTGCGACAAGTCGCAGGGCCAAGCCCTGGCTGAGTTATCCAGCAGTTGCTCCAGCGGCAGCCAGTTGCGGCTTGGCATGGCCTCAGGGCCCAGTTGGTCTACCAGGAGACTCGAGTTGGCCTGGCAGGAAGCCCATGACCTCATGAAGCTAGAGGAAAACCTACAATACTGCCTAAGGCGTTACTACCCCAGGCCCAGGCGGTGCCAAGTTGGCCCCTTCACTCTCTGGAGGGCGAATTTTGCAGACTTTGGGGAATACTTAGGCCAAATGTTTTTTCATTATATAAAGGATGTATTTTCCCTTCTTTCAGGAGAGTTGTGCTGCTCTCTGGGTCAATATTTGTTCTTTAGTTTCAACATCTTTAGAAGCGTTAATACTCTCCAGTTAAATATTCTCCAGAAACACAACCTTGGTTAGGACAGGAAATACTTTTAGCAGTCCCGATGGTCACCTACTTACTCTGTGGAACCCTCTTCAAGCCACTTTGAAACATACCAACCAATTGTTTATGAAGCAATTTTATTTCAAAGCCCTATTAGAATTTTGTTTTCAAAGAGGCAAGGTTTGGGCAAAGGAGGGGGGATTAATGCTATGGGTTAATGCTCCAGACTGCAAAGCCATTTGAACTGCAAGGTCAGCGGTTCAAGCTCACCAGGTGCTCCTTGAAAATCCTATACAGGGTGGCTATGGTTCTGAATCGACTCCTCGGCACTAAAATGAAAAAAACATCAATGGTCAATTAAGTCAAAACATTGAGTAGTTAAGGAATTTTGCAAAGGTGGTGCCACAATTTATTGAGCCCCATATTTGCCTCTTTCCATTCAAAGTGAAAGAGTTCTAACTAATCTGATCAAAGTTGTCAGAAGATGCAACTTTTGACTAAATGAGAACTAGTTACATGGCAATGAAATATCTTTTCTTAAGATAGCTCCCATACAAGTGGAGACCCAGGACCTTCAAATTGGAAAGAACAGAGATGAATTTATACCATTTCCAGTGCAGCTGGACCTGAAGTAAAAAGGATAGGGGAAGAGAAGGATGACTTCCAGACAAAAATAGAGTTGATTGGTCCTCAGACCCAACTTATTATTGAGTTGTTATTGTTGTTAAGTGTCATGGAGTTGGTTCCAACTCATAGTGACTTTGTATAGAGTTTCTGAGGAGCAGCTGGTGATCTTGAACCACCAACCTTGCTTTTCAAACCAACCTTGCAGTCCAGTGCTTATCCTACACCAAGGTACTGAGACTCTTTTACAGCCTCCTAAAAAGACACCAGACATCAATCACCTTCCTACAACTTTTTGGACATCTGTGGGACTTGCTCTCTGCCTCCACTTTCCACCTTCCCTTTCTCTTCTCCTCCCTATTTGAATCTCAGCAGCATGGTGGTGGTGGTGGTGGTTACATGCCGTGGTGGTGGTTACATGCCGTGGTGGTGGTTCCAACTCACAGCAACTCTGTACAGGGTTTCTGAGGCTATAAACCTTTACGGGAGCAGAATGCCTAATCTTTCTCCCGTGGAACAGCTGGTAGTTTCGAACTGCTGACCTTGAGGTTTGCAGCCCAATTCGTAACCACTACGCTACCAGAGCTCCTTAGTGCCTCATGTAGTTGGTTCTAACTCATAGTGACCCTGCATAAGGTTTCCAAGGCTGTAAATCTTTAAGGGAGCAGAAAGCCTCATATTTCTGACTCTGAGGTTAGCAGCCCAACTCATAACCACTATGCTACCAGAGCTCCTTGGAAAATACATTTAACTGTAGGATCAGCGGTGGGAGGACTGCGAACCACAAGGTTGGCAGTTCAAACCCACCAGCTGCTCCTTGGAAACCCTGTACAGCATCACTATGAGTCGAAATAGACTCAAAGGCACTTAAGAGCAACAATAATTATCCCAAACAGCTCAAATAGGTCTGCTCTGAGTGTCCATTCCTCAGGGACTATGTAAGTGGCCATGTGTATGGTATCTGTCTGTCCATCGAGTGAGAAGGACCTGGGACATTTCTCTTCCCATCCAGTACTTTGACATTCCAGGTAAGAAGTCTCCCAGCTTTTGCTCCTACATCTTCCGTGATTAGAGCCCCTGGGTCAACTCAATTGCCTTTGAACAGTTATTGGTCCCAGCAAAGTTCTCCAAATTCTAGTAGTCTTTGTGCATACTGTATGTTGATAAGTGTAGGAGATTTCAGTCTGTTTTTATGGTGATTGTTGTTATAGCAACATGCTTTCTTTTATATGCTAGGTGTTTAAAATTGGCTTAACCACTCCTCTCTCTGTGTCTCTTAATGATGAGTCATGAACATTGGTGTTCCAAATACCAGCATAGAAAAACAGTTTATTTTGGCATTCTCTCTTGGATTTCCTCATTACAAATATGTGAATACAGGTTAACTGATGTTTTTAACTTTGGTGTATAGAAATTCATCCTCGTAAAATAATGCTTCAAATCTACGCATATACTAAATAATGTGGGAAGGAAAAAGAACCACAGTGATTACTACTGTGTGATGAAATGATGAGTATTTTAAGGTTTTTTCCGTGTACTTTTATGTATTTTGCAATTTTTCTACAGTAACAATGTTCAATCGAAAATAAAACATTTTCTTTACAAAACATTTATTTTATCTGTAAGCAAAATGATGCTTTCAATGGTATTTTATGGATTGCATATAATGTACATAAAAGTTCATTTCCTTTCCACATTCCATGGAAAGACAGATCATGTTTCATTCATCTTAGAATTCTCTCCCATCCCCTTGTTTGTCCACAGGACTTTCCAAGAGACTTGCTTGTAGTGGGTGCTCAATCAATAGCCATTAATGTCTTTTTTATTAAAATGAACCATTTTATGTAGCTTCATAAAACATGCATTTTTAAAGTCCACATCAGTGTTCATTCACCCTTTCTAATTAAGAATTTCTCAGAATATAGCAGGTGGACCAGAGGTGGTCAGCTAGCCTTTCACCGAAAACTGTGTACTTCCTTCCATAGTGGGGAACTTTTGTTGGGAAGAGACTATCAGACCTTCTTTGAAACTTTATAAAGCCATGTTCCTAAAGGTGAAACAATGGAAGGTGGACAGAATGCTCATTTTACGAGTCCAGACAAGACTCATAAAAGCTTCCTGTGGAATCCTCTGTGCTCTTTCTCTTCCCCATTTGCTGGTTAGGTGTTCTCTCCAACTTCAGCAAGCAAGATTTTATCATCTGCATATTGCAGGTTGTTAATGACTCTTCCCTGGAGAAGGACATCATGCTAGGGAAAATGGAGGGTCAGCGTAAAACAGGAAGACCTCCAACAAGACAGACTGGCACAGTAGCAGGAGCAATGGACTCAAACTTAACAATGACCATAAGGATGGCACAGAACCAGGCAGTGTGTCCTTCTGTTGTGTATAAGTCGGAATTGACTCAACTGCATTTAACAACAACAATAAGATGTTATGACATCAATAGTAATCTGAAGAGGATCCTCCTGAGACTAACCTTAGGCATGACACAGGAAGTACAAGAAAAGGTTGGGCCTGAAGAGGCCCTTCGAGATTCCAAGTCAATCTGGACTATGAGAAGGGACTCAGCTCAACCAACATCTGTTTGAGTTCTGTTTCCCTTGGGAAAACCATGTTCTGACCAAGAATCTCTCAATCCATAACTTAGAACCTCAGTTGTTGTCTTTAGCATTAGCCTCTAACAAGATTATTGTTTTAATACTCTTAATATTCTTCTCCAACCAATTAGTGATGTAAAGCATTGTGTTTAGACAATTAAATGGAACCTATAGGGTTGAGTTTTTTAAATACATTCAAATGTGGGTGTACAATTCAATGATGTTTAGAATCACTATTGGAGTGTGGTGACTCCATAGAATAAACACTGGGCTGTGAATCACAATGTCGAGGGTTCGGTCTCACCAGTTGCTTCATCGTAGAAAGATGAGACTTTCTGCTCCCGCAGAAAGATCTAAAACCTCAGGAACCCTATACAGAGTTACTATGAGTTAAAAATGACTTCACAGCACTTAACAACAACAACAGAATCACTAGAGTACTTAGTATGTGTTTTTAATTTAAGAGAATTTCTCATAATGGACTAGTAGCTAAAACACTTAAAAGACCTTGACTATAGAAATCAGTATTTTATGTATTTAAGAACATTGGTTTATGAAATGTGTGGTTTGATTAATTAGTTGCATAATATTGTCTAAATATCTGGGGAAATGTGTTTAATAGGTATGAAAGCTTAGTAAGCTGAATTTAAAACGAAATGAAACAGAGGTAAGTGCTCTTTCTACTTCAGGAGCCCCTGAGACACGGGAGATCCTAGCAACAGAACAGACAAGTCGATTCAAACAAACTGTGTGTTCTAGCAAAAACACTTGATATCTGGCTGTTACTATTGAAAACAAAACCCAAACTAATATGTTCAGCAGGAAAACCCAGTCAGCAGCTGTATGGGTTGTCTTTTTTGCGATCACTTATCTTGACAAGGATTATGCTTAAGTTGTGCCTTGATTAGACTTGAGTCCCTGGCAAATGTTTTGTCATGTTCACCTCTCTAGGATCAAGTCCCAGGTTTGTTCTTTTAAAACCTTCATAGCTACAGTTACCATGACTGAACAAGTCCAGTTGTCAATAGATGCTAATGTGATACAATGAATGGGTTTGTCAAAGATTCTTGGTTGCTGCAGACAGAAGCAATATGCAGTTATTTTCTACAAGAGACACAACTCCCCATTTGCCTGGCTGATCTAAGATGCAGTGAGGATTCTTTGAGGATTTATGAACTAATAATGCTTAGAGAATTAGCACCAAAAACAACTCTTTAATCCTCTGCTTCTTGAGTCCCACCCTAAGCCAGGACATTCTGTCACAGCTCAAGAACTTCAAGCAGCTTCTAAGCTCCTGAGCAACCATTCAGTGTGACCGGATTTCCATGAGGCACCACTCATGATTTTTCTCAGTCATTTTGAGCAGGATGTGTTTCCTTCTTGGAACTCTGCCTCAGCTAGCAGTCTGAGGACTGAGCAACACCAGCAAAGAAAGTCACATCATGGTGACATCAGTCGAGAAGCTGTAGAGAAATACCTCGAGGAAAACCCTCACTTTGCCAAGGAGTACTTTAATAAGAAGCTGCGGGTGGAGGTACTGAGAGAAATCTTCCAGAACTGTCCATTGTCTGCAGAGACCAGTGCCTCCTTCGCTGAGCTGACGAGGCAGAGGAGGCCTCCGTGTGCTTGGAGCTGCTAGGGATGGTGCAGGAGGAGCTGGTGGCTCACAGGGTCCTTCAGAGGCTGACCCAGCTGCTGCAGGCAGACCGCTGCAGCCTGTTCATATGCCGCGTCTGCAATGGTACACCCGAGGTGGCCTCTAGGCTGCTGAATGTCACCCCAACCTCCATGTTTGAGGACAACCTCGTGGTTCCCAATAGAGAAGTTGTATTTCCACTGGACGTTGGGATTGTGGGCTGGGTTGCTCACACAAAGAAAGCCCTTAATGTCCCAGATGTCAAAAAGGTAGGCAGCCTAATGGTAGTGGGGTGAGCAGAGATCGTGATGTAGTTGGGGAGGAATCCATGGGATAGGAAGTTGTGGTTCAAGGGTTTAGTCATGACCTGGGGTGTGGGGTCAATGGGGAAGAAGAAATGTCCAAGCCCAGAAATGTCAGATTTAGTAAATAAAAATACAGGATGCCCAATTAAGTTTGAATTTCAGATAAACAATGAATAAATTTTTTAAGTATGAGAATGTTCCATTTAATTTTTCCCATTTTGTGAGGCCTAATGTATTCCACACCTGCTCCTTGCACCCCCTAGTCCAGTGGCTCCACAGCACTTGCCTTCTGAACAATACCAGTAAAACAAACCATCTCCTCCACTCCACACTACTGGAGAGGTCAGCCAACAAAAAAAGAATCCAATGTTTGTGAACTGCTCCCTACAATCCTCATTCCCAACCCTCTAAAGACATCCAGTTCTTTGGAATGGATTGTCTCAAAAGCTGATTCAGCTATAGATCCAACATGCAAAAAGAAAAATGATACCATTTGAAAGCTCAGATGTTCAAATTTGAATAATTAAAAATGTGAGTTTAGGTGATGATTAAGGTGCGAGGTCACCACCATCCTCATTCAATAATGTGGCTGTTAAGAATTAATTCCAATCATGTGGACCCTCTTAAAGACCAACAACATACAGCACAAATGCAAGGCATGTTTATGCTTTCTTCAAAATAGGAAGTTTAGCCTTTTCTGCTTGCCACTGCAACGTATCTTCATTTTAAACAAATTATATAATAAATGACAAAGACAAAATGCAAATCCCCCACACTCCCTCCGATCAGAGATAACCTCAGGTGCCAGCCTGGACCTTCTCTTTCTGGCCTTTTATTTTCACATCCTGGCGTGTCCCAGGCTTGCAGTTTACTATAAAGAAGGTGAGTCCCTGGTGATGCAAACAGTTCATGCATTTGACTGCTAGCCTCAACGTTGGAAGTTTGAGTCCACCCTTGGGAGAAAGGCTGATGGATCTGCTTCTGAAAAGCCAGTACACTGGAAACCCTGTGGAACACAGTTCTACTCTGATACACATGAGGTTGTCATGTGTCAGTTAAATGGGGGCGCAGGTGGGGATGGGGTGCGGGGAGGATGACAGTGCTCAAGCAAGGCAGCTGTAGAGGCTGGAGGATACCTTCACATGGTTCCTGAAGCTGATCATAGGAAGAGGGTCGCACAGACCCAGAAGGGGCAGATGTTGCTTAGCTAGAGAATAATTCCTCTTCTACCCTCCCCCTATAATCAGTGAGTTGTTGCTGTTGTTGGTTCCAACCCATAGGGAACCTGTGTTTGGTTTCCTAGGAGCAGCTAGCTGCTGAGCTTGAGCTGCCGACTACAGTTCAAACTGACTTTGCTATCCCTGTATTCTTGTCATTTCATACAAGTGCGATCATATGATATTTGTCCTTTTGTGATTGACTTATTGTGCTCAGCATAATGTCTTCCAAGGAGCTCTGGTAGCATAGTGGTTACAAATCAGGCTGCTAACCTCAAGGTTGGCAGTTCAAAACTACCAGCGGTTCCACGGGAGAACGATGAAGCGGTCTGCTCCCGTAAAGATTTACAGCCTTGGAAACCCTGTGCAGGATCACTGAGTTGGAACTGACTCCACGGTACTTAACAACAACAACAACAATGTCTTCCAGGTTCAGCCTTGTTGCAAGTTATTTAGGGGGGAACTCATTGTTCTTTATGGCCAAAGGCAAGAAATCATTAAATAACTCAAAAAGGTTAATTATTTCTTTTATGATTGGGAAAGCTTCATGCAGTTAAGTGTATGAAGGGATTTCAAAAAGTTCGTGGAAAACTCCCGTTATCTTTTCATTCCTCATTCCAGCCCTGGTTTAACAGGAAGCCTAAGAGTGTTGGGGACCACAAGCACTGAGATGCTGAGGCCTTGTGTCATGGATGAAAATCCAACAGGATGGCCCCTCTCAAGATTGCGAGCCAAGGACCCTGAGGGCCAAGGAAGTGACCTCCTGACGTCCTGAGTTCATAGGCTTTTACGAACTCACTGGATGGCTACCTCTGTGCAATTCTCTTTAGTCTTAATATTGTTCATTCTGTACTTGTTCTTTATGCTTCTAACTCCGGTAATTGTAGCTTTTGAGAAAATGTTAATGTACGTAATGCCTCTTTTAAGGAGCTCTAGTAGCATAGTGGCTGCGAACCGCAAGGTCAGCAGTTCGAAACTACCAGCTGCTCTGTGGGAGAAAGATGAGGCGTTCTGCTCCTGTAAAGATTAACAACCTCGGAAACCCTGTGCAGGGTCGCTATGAGTCGGAACCGACTCCACGGCACATAACAACAACAACAACAATGCCTCTTTTAATGGCTCCACTGTAAATGTCACTGCCTTGAAAGTATTGGCAGTGCGTGGGGTCCTGGGAGCAGATCTTTTTGAGGAACAGGCTATAGCCACCTGGGATGACTGTCAGAACTGCACCTTATACAGTTATTTAGTTATGTTTGATATTAATTTAAAACATGAGCTCTGGATGTCCATATACAAAAATAAAACCTACCTTCCCACTAGAACTGAGGCAGTAAAACTTCCTCATATGACTCAGGACAAACAAGGGCAGGTTTGCTGGGATTATGCAGGGAGGTTCTGGAGAGGAACTGCCCAGGGTATTCATTTGAGGTGGAGTGGTAAATTCTGGGAATATTGGATTAAGGGACAATGGTGGCAGCCCCTCCAAACTGCCCCCGGGTATAATCAGTTTGACCTATATGTTCTCCTTCCTCCTGAAAGCTTAAACCAGGTAGCTGAAACAGCTTGACTCCTTTTAACCTTTACCCATTAGAGATCAAGTGCTATAGGTATGTTAATTAGCCTTGAGAAACTTCGAGTCACTGCTTTAGGATTTAAGCCTAAAAAGTAATTTATAACAGTTTGCTTGAATTTTTGGAAAATTAAGAATGTTAGATTATTAAGACAATTTGCGATGTATATTTTAGAATTTGTTCCTGTAAATCATTGTGTCCTGTTTTGAACGATTAATCACATTTCACTTCTGTACCCTGATTTATCTGAATAATCACCTTCTTCCTTTGTGCAAAATCCCTCCCTGAAAAAGGCAGATTGAATCCTGCATGCATTACTGCCTGCAGGGCCATGATGCCTGCAATCCAGGGTCTGCCTGCCAGTTTTGCATCCACTCTGGTCTGGGGTGTCTCTTTGTTTCACTCGTCGCATCTTTGTGTATATTCTTTCTCTATCTCTTTGGCTGCCAGATCTCTCTACTTCGTGAACCAAACTCCCCTGTCAAGGCAGGTCCCCGACATAAGAGTTCAATAATTGAATGGGGTCCTCATAGTTCCCTTTCCTCCCTCCTTTCTCGTCCTTCCCGCCTCTCTTTTTGCCTCTTGAGCTCACGGGTTAGTGGTGTTTAATCAGTATTTAGCAAATCTGAGACTTGATGAGGCATCAAAGCACCTTCCTGTTCTTAATACTTTTTCCAGCTGCTTTCAGGTTCTTTGAACAAGGCCATGGAGGGAGTCTGAGAGCCCAGGAAACACAGGATTGGCTCAAAGAATTGTTAGTAAGGATTGTTTTGTGCTAGTGAAAATTCAAAATGAAAAATGAGAAAGCACCACCTCCCTGTGTTCTGGTTGACTCCCTTACCTTGTCATTTGACAAACATTTATTTCAAGGCTTTCAGGTGCAAGGAAGAAAGCAAGCATTAAAATTTTAAACTGATCATGCATTGTCTCAAAACAGTCCATTCAATTTAAGAACATTTTCTTGTGTTCAGAGCCTGGAATAAAGTTGGCATCTAGTTTTGTAGCTGCAGAGTGAAATCTGTTTGCAATGATATATTGACTGGCTTCATCCCAAGGTGTATTTTTTTTGGTATTTTGATTATTCTTTAAAGCTCAGGATTGCTGTGTAAAAGACAGTGGCAATAGATGGCATGTAGCGGATAATAGGTTTGGAGGAAAACAGAATGTGAGCCGGTCCAGGCAAGCAATGGATTAAGAGAAAGAACCTAAGGAAGGCTGGAGACATTCAGATCTGAGGTGGTACCCTGCAGGGAGCAGAGAGGAGTAACAAAAAAAAAAAAAGTGGGGAAAGAAATATGAGGACATGGGACAGAGTGCTGGCCCTCAGGAGGTCTACATCCATATATAAAGACATCCATGTTTTCCAGTGATGAGAAAAGATTAGAAAATGTAGAAGCCAAATGGCACAGAGAGAACTACTTCTCTCGAACTCTACACTTAAAATTGGTTGTCAGATGTTTGTTATATATACTTCATGCAAGGCGACCTCAAAAATGGCCCAGGTTTCTCCTCTCAATATTTACTGAGTGCCCACTATGTGCCAGACATTTTCCTAAGTGCTCTACCCATCTTACCTCACGTATACTAGAAAATAAGGATACAGAGAGAATACATAGTACACTAAGGATCACACAGCTTGTAAAAATGAGTCTAGTTTTGGCCCACAGCATCTGACTTCAGAACCTCCTCATATCTGGGAGTGGTGTGGGTGAAGGGCTGCATTTGATTGACTTCCTTAGCATCACACAGTTTCTGGGCCATGGAATGCTGAGTGGGTGGAACCTTTGGTCAGAAGACCTGCTGAGCTGTCTGTAGGATGTGGGGACTCGGGAAAACTATCTGTCACCACTCTTGGATCTATCATCCTGTGGTTCTGTGCTTTTACAGACGTGTGAATGTTTCTTTCAGAACAGTCATTTTTCAGACTACACGGACAAGCAGACTGGATACATCACTAAGAACCTGCTAGCAACCCCAATAGTGATGGGCAAGGAGGTTCTTGCTGTGGTTATGGTACTTAACAAAGTAAACGCATCTACATTTCTCAAGTAGGATGAAGAGGTAATGCCAACCGTGGTCTTCCACCTGGAGATGTAGGAATTTTATTCAGAAGGAAAGATGACACAATCATAATTTTCTTTTCTCTGCCATCTATAGGTGTTTTCCAAATACCTCAATTTTGTTTCTATCATCCTAAAACTTCATCATACCAACTACCTGTGCAGTGTTGAATCCCGCAGAAGCCAGGTAAATGCAAGGTGGCATTCATCTCCCCACTCTGATCTGTTCTGGCAACAAACCCAGAGCACTCCTCTACTTTCATGGGAGTTTGAGCCACATGGAGTAGATCTCCCAACTTTCAGTACAAGGGGCCTCTCGTGGTCTCCTCTCCACCCTCATTCCAATTACACTTTCACGAAAGGATCTGATATCAAGCTCATTTTTACTTTATGCCCAATCTCTCATTGTGGAATGAAATAAATCGTCTCAGGAATTAATCGCAAACACTAATCTGTGTGAGGGAATCAGGTGAGTCCTGAAATCCTCCTACCCATGGGACCGCTTACTCCGTCTGTGTATACCACTGACCTGGAGTTCCTCAGTCTATTTCCTGGGGGGTGGTGGTGGTGGTAGTGTCTTGGCCTCTTCATCTATGAGAAGTGATGATAATACCACTACCTGCCTCACAATGTTGTAACTATTAAATGGTGGTTAAATGAGTTGTTATTAAGTGCTGCCAAGCTGGTTCTGACTCATGGTGTCCCTGTATAGGGTTTCCGAGGAGTGGCTGGTGAGTTTGAACCACTGACCTTGTGCTTTATCCCACAGTGCCACCACACCAGGACTCCCATTAAATGATGGTTGTTGTTGTTAAGTGCGCTCATGTTGATTTCGACTAATAGCGACCCTGTATAGGGTTTCCGAGGAGCCAAGCTGACTGTTCAAACTGTCCTTGTGGTCTAGTGCATGATCCTACAGCACCTCCCAGGATTCCATTAAATGAATCAATTCACATAAAATGCTTAGTTCCTGATACTTAGTAAAACCAGTAAGCTGCGGAGCAAACCACTCTCCTGAAGTCAGTTCCCTTCATGAGACAGCAGTATACCCAAGTCTAGACCCAGTTACATCATCAGTGCAGTGGGGGAGGGAGAATGGAGATCAAAGACTTACGAGGTCCCTTCCTATTCTAACTCTCCAGATAAATTTACCTATCACTAACCCAGGTAGGAATCCGGTGGCACAGTGGTGAAAGTACTTGGCTGCTAACCAAGAAGTTCAAACCTACCAGCCACTCAGCAGGACAACGATGTGACAGTCTGCTTTCATAAAGATTGCAGCTTTGGAAACCCTATGAGGAAGTTTAATTTTGTCCTATAGGGACGCTATGAGTTGGAACAGACTCGATGACAATGGATTTCGCCCAGTATGCATAAAGGGAGGCATGTCACATTCCCTCCAACTCCCAAGGGCCATCAGGAGCCAATGGGCCACCAACACTAGACCCTTGCCCAGGGCTGTCTATTTATTAATTTTCTGGAACTTCTCCTTTGGAGCTGAAACATTTGGACATGAGGATAAATCACCGCTCCTTCCTCCACTTGACAAATAGGCTTGCGATGATTGGTCAAAATCATTCCACTTTGAGAATCTGAGTTGTTGTTAAGTGCCAACGAGTCCATTCAACTTACAGGGATCCCATACAGGGTTTCCGAGGCTGTATCTTTCTCCCTTCAAGTAGCTGGTGGACTCAAACTGCCAACCTTGTAGTTAGCAGTTCAGTGTTTATACTACAGCACCACATCACTCCCTAGAGAGCTGTAGGTTCAAAATAGAATTGCACGTAGTCTAGTAATATGTAGTCACTTACTTGGCACGCCTCATGTTTTCTTCTGGTTAGTGCTCCATTGTGTCATTATGTCTCTACATTGTGTATTTTGTTCTGTTTTCTTTTTTTAACCTACTTTCAGATCCTTATGTGGTCAGCCAATAAAGTATTTGAAAAGCTTACAGATGTTGAACGACAGTTTCACAAAGCCCACTACACAGTTAGAACATACCTCAACTGTGATTGGTATTCTATTGGACTGCTGGACATGAGCAAAGAGAAGGTCCTTGTTCCATACATTAAAAAAAAATTTTTTTATTGTGAATTGAGTGATAGTTTCCATGGGAGAACATCAGTTTTACACTCATTGCTTCATTGCAATGATTACAGTCTCCTTCGTGCATCATCATTCAACAGTATTTTTGCTTCTGTTCCCTCTGGGTGTTTTTTGTTTTGTTTTGTTTTTGGAGGGAGAGGTATACACAAAAACACTCAGGAATATATAATCATTTAAACAACCAAAAGAACATTCTGCAAGCCTGTCTCCTGGCCACCAACACCCAGCCGCCAGCACACAGCCTTTCTCTTTCCATGAGTCTAGAGTCCTCAGCTGCTCCATTTCTCCATGTCCTCATCTCTCCTTGTTCCATACCTTTTTGTCTCACTGTTGTTGTTGTTGTTGTTAAGTACCATGGAGTCAGTTCCGACTCATAGTTACCCTATACAAGATTTCCAAGGCTGTAAATCTTTACGGGAGCAGACCGCCTCATCTTTCTCCCACAGAACCACTGGTAGTTTCCAATTGCTGAACTTAAGGTTAGCAGCCCGATTCGTAACCACTACGCTACCAGAGCTCCTTACTATCCCCTATAAAATACACATCACAGCAAATGTGATGCATTACAAAAATGAATAAACTATTTTAATAATCACTCGAGGTCCCAAAAACCAGTACCAAGAAGGCACTGCACGAAGGCAAAAATAAATATTTTAGAGACAAAAAAAAGATAATCTAGGCCTGAAGCTTTTTCCCTTTCTGACTGTTGGTTTTCTCATCTATCAAAGGAGGACATCTCTCTCATCAATTATAAGGATTAGAATATTCTATATATGAAGTTGCTAATGCATGTAGGTTCTCTTAGCTAGGAAGATGGGGAGAATTAATATGATGTAAAATGACCAACAGCATTGGCCAGTCTGTGTGACCTTGGCCTTGCCTCTTAACCTTCCTAGATTAGCTTAATGTTTTATGAAAGAGTTACTATAGATTGAGTACATGTGACTATGTGTTAGGATAGTTTATTCTTCACTCAATCTTCATAATGATTCCTATTATTATCCCTGATTTTACAGATTTAAAAAAATCACTGACTTTTTCACAGTCACAAGTTAATAAGAAGTATTTCTGGGAATTATAGTTCCTTTCCAGGTCTAACAGTCTAACATGCCCAAGTCCCATACTTTAACACAAAGTATGAAAACACATAAAATTCATATGAGGTAGTTTTATAAAACAGTTTAAATAGAGTAGAATATAAATATGATTAAATATAATCTCTTCCAGGAAACATACTAAT